TCGATGAATTTTTCTGGACAAGTGGGAGTTAGCATAGCACCCTTCTGCATTCTGGTGAGCTGTAAACTTTGAAACTGAGAGCTCTTGTGTTCATCTAGAAATGTATCCTCGACATTGAATATGGCCTTGACATCAGCAAATAGAGTTGACATTTGGACCAAATTTTATTCTGCCTACTTTGAAGTGAGATTACAAAGGACTAACAGCTCTTCACTAAACAAAATGTCTGGGTTGGAGAGTTGTCTAAAAGGTCTTTCTCTTGTCCCTGGAGGGATATGTGTTATGTTAGCATCCTTTTAGATTAAACGTTGTAGGGTAAATGGTCTTTCTTGCATTATTTTGTACCTATAAGACGTTTTACAAATATTATATCATTCTACCTTGTAACTCCTCTAGGAGAAAAGTTTTATTTTCCCCTCATTATACAGATAAGAAATTAAATAGGCCAGAGAAGAAAATAGCATCATGTTTTTTTTTTTAATTACAAGGGAAATTATATTAATTTGGATTGTTGCCTGATAGGTCAGTTTGGGGGCCTTTATCACCCAGAAGGCACTCCAAGGTGTGTGTGTAAAATATTTGTTTAAAAAAATTATAAGTGGTGGTGCTAGAATTCAAACCTAGATTTGCTGTAATATATTTCTTCCCTACATGGCTCAGATAATTAGAATTTTCCATACAAGCCGGACTTGGAGGCTCAGCCTGTAATCCCAGCGCTTTGGGAGGCTGAGATGAGTGGATTGCCTGAGCCCGTGGGTTCCAGACCCACCTGGGCAACTTGGTAAGACCTCATCTCTACAATAAAAAATAAAAAAAATTAGCCAAGCGTGGTAGCACACGCCTGTAGTTCCAGCTACTTGAAAGGCTGAGGTGGAAGAATCGCCGGAGCCCAGCAGATTGAGGCTGCAGTGGCTGAGAGCGGCCATTGCACTCCAGTCTGGGTGACAGAGTGAGATTCCAACTGAAAAAAAAAAAAAAAAAAGAAAGAATTTTCCATACATATACACAAATCCATGAGGTTTGGTGAAATCAAGTGCTCATTTTCAATATTTTATTATAATCTGTCCATTTCTTCTTAAATATGGAAGATATTCAGAGTCTTATAATCCATGCTATTAAGAATTTAGTGTCTTTAGAACAAGTGGCATTTATATTTCCTTGCTTATTTTGCTGTTGTTGCTTTCACTGCAGTTATGACATACATGATTCTTAAAATTTCAGTAAATATTCAAAGATGAAGTTCAAAAACGCAGTTTATTCATTGTCTGTGGCCCTATAACAAATGCTAGGCCAATGTAAGGTTGTGGATTTTAGGGCACAATTTTGCAGAGATGTTTTTCCTCTATTAAACTCCCAACATTTTTCAGGAGCTGTCTTAAGAAAGCACCTAATTAAGATCAGCATTTTGGTGGGGTTTGAAAGTAAAGTGTCTAATGAGGAGCTTGGTACACTAAGCAGAGCACTATTTGATTCTAATGTCTGTGTTTATTTTACATCTCTCTCTGACTTGCCTTGCCAAAAGGATAGACTGCAGTCATGTATTTAATGAGGAAGCTGGCATTCCAGGGGTTTCTTCATGCCTAATATTTAGCAAGATTAAATGTAATGTATGAGCCGGGCTCGGTGTCTCAGCCTGTAATCCCGCGCCTTGGGAGGCTGAGGTGAGTGGATTGCCTGAGCCCGCGGGTTCGAGACCCGCCTGGGCAGCGAGAACTCATCTCTACAATAAATCAAAAAATCAGCCGGGCATGGTAGCGCATGCCTATAATTCCGGCTACTTGGAAGGCTGAGGTGGAAGGATCGCCGGAGCCCAGCAGGTCGAGGCTGCGGTGGCTGGAAGCGATCACTACACTCCAGTCTGGGCGACAGAGTGAGACTCCAACTCAAAAAAAAAAAAAAGTAATGTATGTTACAGAAATTATTCTGAATAAGAGAAGAAAAGTATAATTTATATCTTTGGTAGTAGAGGAAATGTATAAGATTTTAAAAACACAAAGGTATTTTTGTACTATTTGTACTATACATTTTAGCAAGACTAACAGATTAAGATATAAAGAAAATCCAACTAATCATTGTGTGTGCTGCCATCATTTCAGGGTTGTTTGATCTCTGGAGGTTTGATTTTTTTGTTTTGTTTTGTTTGTTTGCTTGTTTGTTTTTAGGCTAAACGGACTTGGCAAGGTTTGAGTGGAACAAAATTAATAGTACTTATTTGAGTGGCTTTGGATATTTACATATATGATTTTCAATTTGCCATATTCTTTCCTTATCTTTGTGTCCTCTCCCTACAGTTCATTTTCTGTGTAGGTTCTTGCAGCAGTACAAGCTTGAAAATAAGTTGGAATTCAAAGAAGATTAACCAACACATGAGAAACTTAGGAATGCTTGTATTGAGAGGTTGCTTAAAAGTAGATGACAACACTTAGGAAGATTTTTGAGGTCTGAGGGTGCATATTCACATTTTATTGGGATCTCCTTAATTGTAGTACATTTTGTAAACTTGTAGTAAACCTTGTGGATGAATATTTTTTTTTTTTTTTTTTTTTTTTTTTTTGAGTTGGAGTCTCACTCTGTCGTCCAGACTGGAGTGCAGTGGCCGCTCCCGGCCACCGCAGCCTCGGCCTGCTGGGCTCCAGCGATCCTTCCGCCTCAGCCTTCCTAGTAACCGGAATTACAGGCATGCGCCACCACACCCAGCTGATTTTTTGATTTATTGTAAAGATGAGGTCTCACTGCCCAAGCGGGTCTCGAACCCGCGGGCTCAAGCATTCACTCACCTCA